ATTATATATATATGCGTAATATGCAAATTGTCCCCTTGGGAGTTCAACTGGGAGACCAGGAGTTCAATGACTCACTATGACAGGCACTGACCACCAGGGGGCAGCATGGAATGAAGGAAGCCCCTGACCAGCAACTGGGAAAGGGAGGCCCCGAATGGCAGCTGGCAGCTGGGGAAGGGAGGCTCCAGCTGGCAGCTAGAAGGAAGGCCCCAGCTGACAGACAGAAGGCCCTGATTGACCCTGGTCGCCAGCTAGACCTAGGTACCCTGCCTGTGCATGAATTTCGTGCACAGGGCCTCTAGTCCTATATAATAAAAGGCTAATATGCTAATAGACAGAACAACGGAACAACCAAACAACAGGTTTCTATGACGTATGCTGACCACCAGGGGGCACGCATGGAACATGGCATCGGCAGCAGGAGGCAGAGTGCGAACATGGCAGGCGTCGGGCATGGAGGGATGGTGGAGCAGGTGAGTGGTGACAGACCAAAGCAGGGTGCTGGTTACTGTCATTGGGGCCAGCCTCTGGTTATTACTGAAAATTCTTTGCTCCCGTGCCCTGCAGTCCCACCCAGCGCTCGCACCTGCTGCCAGCGCTGGAGCTGTTGCTAGCACCCACTGCAGGCACTGGCTCCACTTGCCCCCACTGCCAGCACCCAAAACCAGTCCCGATTGCTAAAAGCCATCAGTGGGTGTGAGGGGTGGCTGCCAGCCCAGATTGCCCCTGAAGGCTTCTCCACCTTCCCCTGATACTGAGGAGTGATCGGGGCCAGCAGCCGCCACTCACACCTGCTGATGGTGTCAGCCCCGCTCACACCTGCTGCTGGTGCTGGCCCCAATTGCTCCGCACCGTCAGTGGGTTTGAGCGGAGCTGGCGCCATCGGCGCATGGGGGTGGCAGCGGCAGGAACAGGGCTGCCAGCAGATAGGGGACTAAGAGTGTGGAGGAAGGGCCAAGACCATTACCTGTGCCCATCACTGCCTTGTGGCCCCACAGTTTTTCAAAGTGCATGAATTCGTGCACTGGGCCTCTAGTTTTTTTATAATATACTAGAGGCCCGGTGCACGAAATTCATGCAGTGAGGGGGGGTGTCCCTCAGCCTGGCCTACACCCTCTTCAATCTGGGACCTCTCGGGGGATGTCCAACCGCCGGCTTTTATTATATAGGGTAATATAAAGGTAAAGGATACAGAACAGCCAATGGAGGTACACAGGATGAGGTCTGTAAGGGTCCCCAAGGAACTGGGGTACACCACCCTATTGGCACATGGATGTGTTCACCCACTTGGAAGCTTATCAAATGTTGTTGTTTTCATGTAACTTCATTGGGAGTACCCGCTGCCCCCACCCCCCCCAAAAAAAACAACCACCACCACACACACACACACACACACACCTTCCCCTTCCCAGAGGTTGGTGGGTGGGGTTGAAAGTTCCAACCTTCTGCTACCTTGATCTGATAACTAGAGGACTAAATGTATTTTCTATTACATTTGGGCACCTTCCTGGTGCCCAGGAATTCCCCTTCTCTGTTAAATGTGGGCTAGGAAACAGAGAATCCATTCTAGTGAAAGATTCAGAAAGGGGAGATGGGTAGAACAATAACTTCCTGGTTTCTTCTCGTGTTTCTAGGTCTCTGGTCCCATCCTATTCCAGAATCCAGCTGTATCCTGACCTTGGGTTCCATGAGCACTCTTGGGAGTACAGATACTTCTCTGCTAGGGGTTGTACCCCTGTGGACGCCAGGTAGTGGATGAAGATGATACGAGCAGTTGTGGGCATATAAGAGAGACTTTATTGCAGATCAAGTAGCCATTGCTACCAAGGAGCCACCAGACAAAACAGTTCTTCAAAGTAGCCTCACAAAGGAGGAGCCAGCCACCTGCTGGTCAGTAGCACACTCTTCTACTAGCTCAGACAAAAGAGGTTTCTTGCCAAATGGTGACGTCTGTATTTTGGGTTATAGAAAAGTACCCCTGTCCAGTGTATACAGTAAGATTGCTGTGTCCTTGGTTTTACACCTGCATATGGCAAATTGGCCTTGAGCACCCGGCGTACTCTGGACCCCCACAGCACTGATAAAATTCCACTCTCTTTGTTAGATGAGATGGGTTTCTATCACAACAAAGAAGACTATTAAAACGGACTTTAAAAGAAAACACTGGTTTCACATTATATTGGAAAAGTAATTATTTATTATGAAAAAAATAAAACTGTTGACTGAAAACAAATGAATGTTATACTGTATTGCACCATGATTGCAAATGAGGCAAAATTTGTCTAAACGATGAACATTCCAGAGTAAACAGCATCCTTTTACTTGAGTATGTAGACATGCAAACAACTCATTATAATGTAATTGCAGACATAAAAAATCACGAGTAGCAGCAACCTAAACTTAACACATCAAAGAAGCCTTTTATGACAGTCATGAAATTATTAAACATTTAAAACATGTCTTTTAAATAACCCACATTAGAAGCACATGCTTTGAACCATTTTCAAGTGATGATGTAAATGCTTTGCTTTTTAAATTTTTTAAATTAATGCTTATATAATGGATCAATAGCACACATTTCAGCTGCTTGGATGAGGTTAAGCATAGGCTGTGGTGTGAAAGACATTTTTTCCCCCTCTGTACAATCAGGGTATCCACAGAGAGTTCCAATTCATAATTTTGGCCTTATTAACACCATCTTCTATTTGACCAAGCATAATAGCTAAGATATTGTTACAGCTTTTGCAGAAAGCCTGAAGCTTGAAGAACGGCTTGTATTTAAATCTTAAGAAATGAACATAAATATAAATAGACACTTTAAAGTAGTTTTATATTATGAAGCAAAAGTACATTATACAGGGCCTGCTGTTTCCTCCTTAATGCTCTAAAGCACCACTTTATGTTAAGATGGCAACATGTGATTATATTAATTATATTCTGATTAGAATAAATGCAAGAGCAAGGCTGTTGCTTTTAATTTTTCCCTTTTTAAACCATGTTCTGTGCAATAGATAAAAAGGGTAAAATTTATAACTATTACATAATTGGAAAAAATATAACCATAATTTTATTTCACACTCTTAATGAAATAACAGTTAAAACTTTTTTAAAAATCAAAATTAAAAGTTTACACTGAACAGTTTACTCCAAGAGAACATAGGGGTTGTAGAGTCCCTGAATGTCCTGAGGGAAAACGTAAGATTAAAATGATTAAAGTATCTTATGAATAGGTCCAAAATATGTAAATAAATTATACACAATCAAGATCAGCTGATAGTCATTTGATAGCTTACCAACACCAGTGGAAATATATTCACAGTA